GATAAGCGCAGAAAGGATTTAGAATTTGAAGCTGGAGATCATGTGTTTTTGAGAGTCACGCCTGTGACTGGAGTTGGTAGAGCTTTAAAATATAAGAAGCTTACCCCTCGTTTCATTGGTCCGTATCAGATCTCGGACAGAGTTGGAAACGTTGTGTATCGAGTGGCGTTGCCGCCTAATTTGTCGAATCTACATGATGTATTTCATGTGTCACAGCTCCGAAAGTATATCTCAGATCCGTCGCATGTCATCCCCATGGAAGATGTGCAAGTACGTGACAATCTTACTGTAGAGACGATGCCGGTGAGAATTGATGATCGAGAAGTGAAGACGTTAAAAGGAAAGGAGACTGCTTTGGTGAAAGTAGTCTGGGTGGGAACCGCTGGCGAAAGCTTGACGTGGGAGCTTGAAAGCAAGATGCGGGAATCTTATCCATAGCTGTTTGGTTAAGGTAATTTCGAGGACGAAATTCTTTTAAGTAGGGGAGAGTTGTAACGCCCGTTTACTTCGATTAATTTAATAATGATATTTTGTCGTGTATCGTTGTGTCGTATTTATATGAGAGTGTATTGGGTGAAGTTTAGTCGGGAGATTGGACTGTTAGAGCGAAACAGAAGCAAAAGAGCAGAAAATGGAATTTTGCTGATGTGACGCTCGTCACAAGCTGGTTACGATCGTCACAATCGTTACGATCGTCAGGAGCCCATTCTGACCGTCATGGTTGTCATGATCGTGACACGCATTAAGCTCGTCACACTTACAATATCCAGTAACTGCAGAATTGGAACATGCACGTGAAAGGCTGAGAAAGTGGAACCAACTTATTCGTATTTTCACTTACTCTCAATTCTGTTTTCATTAGGGGAAAAAACAGAAACTGAAAGAGAAAAGAACGTAGTTGAGAGAAGTTGAGAGCAGAGAATTATCCATCAGAGAATTGGAGGATAGTTGCAGAAAAGTCGCCGGAGAGCAGAACCAGAACCGGATGCTTGGAATTGGCCTCTATTCTAAGGTAAGGGTGGGGTTCAATTCTATAACCGTAGGTATGATCGAATTCAGGTAGGGAATCGAATCATAGATATAGTTTCCGTTAATCGATAAATGTTAGGGACGAGGTTTTTCTGTGTAGGAATGAATATGTTATATCGTTAGTTGTACGATGTTGTATGGTTGCCCTTAATGGGGCAGGATTAGTTGCCCCGTAGTTAACGAACCCTGTCAGAAACTATAATTAATTTAGTGAGTAAAAGTTGTGAGGTTGTTCTTACGATAATGTGTTGAGTTCTTAATTGTCGAAAATATGTTGTTATTGTTCTCGTATATGAACAGGTGGGAAATGATGATTTCATGAGTTGTATGAAATTATGATGCGCTGTTATGGACAGTTTGGTCGTAGGCTAAAAGCCTTGTAGTATAGTTATTATGGTTGTGTTATAGTCCATAATAAATGCATTTCATGGCATATCATTTTGGTTGGCCTGTATTGGCATTGGTTGTGCCTGTATTGGCGGCCTTTAATGGCAAATGAATTGGTTGTGGAGTTTTACTCCGAAATGGTACCACATGCATGTGCACAGTTGAGTCGCATGATGTCGCATCGTTGTGTTGATTGTAAGTCATGATTGCTGCTGAATTTTCTTAATCATCGTTGTATATATGAGATATGGATTTGCTTGCAGTTGATTGTAGACAATGTTTATAAATTTGCGAAGGCTATAATGCTGTGATATGAGTTCTGACATGATTTTTATCATGCCTTATGTTATATTGTTGATATCTCACCCTTTACGTTGTATGTTACCCCCGTTGGCGGTAATTTGCAGGTAACTCGGAATAAGGTGTCGTTTTTCGTTTAAGGTGTCGTCGGTTGCTCTGATACGTAGCACTCTTGGAGGGATGAACGATTGATTTGATTGCTTTTAGTTGATTTCCTTGTTGCTGAATTTTTATTAAGTACTTTCTTTAATAAATTGGTTGCTTATAGTAGTGCCAAATGTTGGTTGTACGCACTAGACCGATTAATTGGTAGTGCTGATTTTTATGGTTGAAACTAGTTATTTAGTGAATTTATGCAAGATTAGGACTTGCTGAATTTTAGTGGAGTTCAGATGTAAAACATTATTTGCCTTGTTTTGGCTGACTATGAGTTGTTTGAAAGTTTATTACATTCCGCTGCAAAATAACAGGTTGTCTTACAATTAACATACTAAGCTGAGAATTGTAGTCGGTTCATCCGCATTTGTGCTATGTATGTTATTAGATGATTTTAGCAGTTCTACGGTTGTCTTTTAAGTTGAAAATGTGGCATCTCTAGTTGATGCACTCTGATTTGCTTAATGATCCATTTGGGTAGAAAAGGGGTGTTACAAAAGGCATACATGGAAAATCATGAAAAGCTATACTCCCCATACCTTAGCCGATTCAAAGCCTTCACGATTATCTCCGGGAATCTTCCGAAGCTTTTGCCTCCAACCTTTCCTTCAGAGCTCTGGCCACCAAACTTTTCACGGTTAACACAAATGAATCCAAATTCCCTTCAGAATTCTATTTTGTCAAACCTAGTCTTGGGCCTCACAATTTGGGCTTTTCCCTCATTACCCTTACTAAGTCCTCCAAATGCCCAAATTACCCTTATTTCACTTATATTCATTTTAATCAATAATAATACTAATATTCTCATATAGTATACTATTAATTAAATAAATAATCCACAAATGCACAATTTCCCAATAATCCACAAAACCACCTAAAAACCACCAAAAATGAATATTCTCAATTAAATAACTTAATTAAAATATTCCAATTAGATTTGGGGTGTTACAACTCTCCCCCACTTAAATGAATTTTGAAAATCACCTCAAGTAAACAAAGTCGGATACGACTCCCTCATCTGATCCTCACGCTCCCAAATCCAACTTTCCTCAGCTGGTCCTCCCAAAACAACCTTTACCAATGCAATCCCTTCACATCAAATTTGCTTCTCGTTCATCAATCCGAACAAGCAACACCTCAACAGTCAAATCATCTCTCACTCGTACATCATTCATCGGAATCACAGGTGACGGATCTGGAATGTATTTCCTCAACTTAGACACATAATTCAATTTCACAGGAGACAGCGGTAAAACAGTCTAACGTGATACTTCTACCATGCTTCCGCTGCGCCACTCTGATACAGACCAACAATACAATGTGTGAGTTTTCGAGACTTCCAAGCTCGACCAACACCAATTACTGGCTTAACTCTCAGAACACGAGCTCTCCCTCTTGAAATTCAAGTGTTTTCCCCCTCTTATCATGGTAACTCTTCTGACGACCCTGCGAAACATTCATCTTTTCTTGGACCCTCTTGATCTTCTCAGTAGTCTCTTACACAATCTCAGGTCCGAGTACAACACTCTCGCCTAACTCATATCAACACAAAAGAGTCTTACACCTCATACCATACAAATCCTCATACGGTGTCATTCCGATACTGGAATAATAATTGTTATTGTATGTAAACTCAGCCAACGACAAATAACTATTTCCCTAATCCACCTTGATCCAACACACAAGCTCTCAACAAATCCTCTAAAGACTAGATAGTTCTCTCTGTCTGTCCATCCGTCCGTGGATGATAGGGAGAATTCAACTTCAACATGGTACCCAAAGCGTCTGCAAACCCTCTCAAAATCTCGATGCAAATCTCAGATTTCCATCTGACACAATATTCGACGATATCTCATACAACTTCACAACTTCCTTAGTATACATCTCAACTAGCTTCAACATAGAATGATCAATCCTCATTGGTATAAAATGAGCTGATCTATTCAATCTATCCAAAATCACCCACATTAAATCATGTCCCTTCAAATTATTCGAAAAACCCGACACAAAATCCATGGAAATATTATCCGATTTCCATAATGTAATATTCAACGATTGCATCAGATCCAACGATCTCTGATGTTCAATATTCGACTTCCGACAAGCCTAACCAGCATATACAAACTCAACCACTTTTTCCTTCATCCCCGGCCACCAAAACAATTTCCTCAAATTCGATTACATCTTCATAGCACCGGGATGGATACTCAATCTACCTCAATGTCCTTCTTCAAGAATACTCTTATTCAATTAGAGATCATCATCAAATATTTTATAAAAATGTAAAGATTATAATATATAATTGGCTAAATTACAGTTTTGGTCCCCCTATTATTATAAACAAAAACATTACGATAACTAAAATTAACATTAAAATATGAAAAATAAAATAAAAAATTTAAACAAATATAATGATAGTAAGATGAAGATATAAAAATACAAAAAATATAAAAATAAAGATCAAATTTGTTCAAAATAATACTTTTAACATTGTTATAACTCATACTACAATTATATATTGATATGTAATATAATACAACAAATTATAAAATAATTAAGTTATTACAAGAAAAATATTAAATAAAATTGAGTAGAATAAAACACATGGAAAAAAAGTTGAATAATAATAATAAAAATAATAGAGTTGCCATTAAAAAAATGAAGAAATTATAATAAGGTGACAAAAAGTAAGGCATAATATTGATAAAGACAACTAAAAATTTTATTAAATAAAAGTGAAGATAATTTTGTCAATATAATAAAAATACATGTTATCATAACTCCTCTCCCTCCCCTCCTCTCCGAAAATCCTCAAATCGAGAAACGAAAAAAATGTTTCATGAAGGATTCTGATTACCTTCAATCTCCTCCTCTCCCCTCGTAAAAAATTAAATCAGACACACTTTTAAGTTTTGAATGATATTCCTTTCCACTTGTTTATGCATACCAATCATTCCCAACACTTAAAAATTCTAGGTGATAAATGCTTTAACATTGAACTCTTTGTAAAAGATGGAGGAGCTCAGGCAATTGGTTAATGAAGGGAAGATAAGATATAATGGGTTGTCAGAGACTAATGCTGACACCATCAGAGAGCACGTGCAGTTCACCCCATTACCGCTTTACAAATGGAGTGTTCCTTGTGGTCTCCTGACATTGAAGAAGAAATAATTCCACTCTGTAGGTATACAAATTGAAATGTTCTCTTTTCATAGTGCATTTGGGTGCAATTATACTCCAGTTGGTTTGATATTTTTGCCAACTCTTTCAGATATGCTTTAACATACAATGTGTAAAATATCTAAAATCGTGACCAAGAATTATTGTGTTTTTGCAGAGAACTAGGCATTGGAATAGTGGCATACAGCCCTCTTGCCCGTGGCTTTTTTGCAGGAAAGTCAGTAGTAGAAACCTTGCCTAGTCAGAGCTTGCTGGTATGCAGCTAGCTACAAATAATACAATTTAATGTTTGCATGAATTTGGAAATTTTCCTGATAATAATGCTCAAAATAACATCTATGAAAGAAGGCTCGAACAGTTAGTTGAATCACATCTCTGCTGAGGGAAGATGTCATAAATATCGCTTAGTGTTATCTCTGCAGTGATATTCTACTGAAATTGAAAGAATCAATGACTTGGCTTCAAAGCATGCATGCACTCCTTCTCAATTAGCCTTAGGGTGGCTTCTACATCAGGGAGATGACATAATCCCTATCCCTGGTACTGCCATTATTTATATTTAGGAAGAATACTTGTATTGTGTGTTCAACATGTGTGATGATTTTTTTAGCTTTCTTTATTAAATTCTTGACATGTTCTGCCAATTTATTTTTCTGGATTTTCTTAGTTTTCTTAAAAATTATCATTCAATGAAGAAAGAAAAAGCGTGATGATATTAAAACCCTTTTCTTTGCAACTTCTTTCATATGTCCATTCAATATCATTTTTTGGCATAATGTGCATTTCTTCATTGACAATTTGATAGTACCTATAGTCTTGTCTATAAAGTATATAAATATTGTAAGCATGAGAATTAATTGATTCTATTGACCAAGTGCTTTTGTCATACATTTGTTTGATACCACGGGGGCTCTACTAAATTGAAGAACTTTGAAAACAACATTGGATCTCTGAATGTGAAGCTTACGGAAGAACAGTTAAGGGAAATTTCTGATGCAGTCGCTGTTGAGGAAATTGGTGGTAAACGAGACTACAGTAGTTTATCACAATATATGTGGAAGTTTTCAACTACTCCGCTAAAGTAATTGCAATATATGTGGAAGTTTTCAACTACTCCTGCTAAATTAAATGCAGTATAAATAGAAGCAAACCAAAATTAGGAAAGCATTTAGGATCATAAACAATGGTTTGTATTCTACCGCTAATATCCTTATATCTTAACAAAATAATATCTCCACAAGATAATGACTGTAAAGTGAATGGAAAATAAATATTTCTTTTGTTAATGCAATTTATTTACATAACTATAAGTTACATGAAGGAATTGTCCTTTCAAACATATCTTCTAGGATTTATTTATTATATGGTAAATGGGAAAGCAGGTATGCACTTATGCTGCTTCTTCCTCCCTGTGCATCCATGCCGTGTCCTTATTAATTTTACAACTTCACTATATTTTTACTGGACAAAAATTGTCTGTTATTTGCATATTTATTAAACTAATGTTCAATGGTGGTATTCCCTTGTTACTACTTACTGACTTATAGTAGTTTCGGATGAGTCATGATTTCTGTAAAAATAGTGATGAACAATAGTAATTCTTTGCTAGTTTCTTTTGAAACTAAAAAGTTAGTTTCACCTGAAGAATTCTAATTACAAGATAGTACTATCATTAAATAATAATACAAACATTGAAATCGGGATTAGTTAGATGCAAGCCATCATAGTTGTAAGAAACATTCAGTAAACCCTACATGATTTCCCAGCTAATATGATTTGGAAAGAAAGCATCTAGGCTAGATCAAAAATATTGTCTCAATATTAAAGAATTTTAGGTTCTTGGTTAACTAAGGAGCAATTAGAACCACCAATTGCTTTATGTAATGTATAGAGCAATAGAATATTCTAGACTATACCAAAGTAATACTAATAAAACGGTTAAAGCAGCAGTTGAGGTCCTGAATGTACCAACCAAGTTTACAACCCCTCTGTTTTAACCTCAAATTGTGAGTGTAGCATTTTGTGGTTGTAAGTAGAGCCACCTCTGTTGGTTTTATCATGTGTGGACAAATGAAGCCACGTGAATGAATTTCCTTTTAGGATCTTTTTACACACTACGTGGAATTTAAATATCCCTCACAATGCTTTCCACTCTATTCTATATAAGCAACCTTCTTCAATGCCTTAGCTACCAACTTAACAATCTAAGGTGTAAGCATTAGTGAGATTCACAAAGCTATTCACATCCTTATATAAGGCTTTGCTCTATCTCATTGGTTCTTGAGTTTTGCATTAACATTAAGGAACTATTTATAATAATGGCTGTTTCATCTTGTCAATCTATCATGTCCAGCTCTATGACCAACATTTCTAGCAGATCCAGGGTTAACCAGTTTACCAACATCCCTTCTGTCTACATTCCAAGCTTCAGAAGGAATGTCAGCCTCAAAGTTAGATCAATGGCTGAGGTAATTATGGTTTTTTCAAACATATTTTAAGGTTTTATATATATATAGTGTTTGCTTATGCATATGTAATACGTTTATGATTTAAGAATGATTAGTTGCTAATCACTTATTGCACTGTTCCGGGAGAGCAGAAAGAGCAACCTAAGGTGCCTGTAGACCCAACTACACCAATTGCGCCAACACCAACACCACAACCAGCCTATACTCCTCCACCAAAGGTGTGCATAGTAACATAAATTTATTACTTTTGTTTTTCCGTTAGATTAGATTTTTAAAGCATTAATTTTGGTTTAAATTAATGAGACCCTTTTAATAATTAATGATGATGTTGAAATGGCAGATGAGCACAAAGTTTTCAGATTTGATGGCTTTTGGTGGGCCAGCACCTGAAAGGATCAATGGAAGGTTGGCTATGATTGGTTTTGTATCAGCAATGGGGGTGGAGATAGCAAGAGGGCAGGGTTTGTTTGAACAGTTATCCGGTGGTGGAGTTGCATGGTTCTTGGGGACAAGTGTGTTGTTGTCACTTGCTTCATTGATTCCATTTTTGCAAGGTGTTAGTGTTGAGTCTAAATCAAAAAGTATCATGTCCTCAGACGCAGAGTTGTGGAATGGAAGAATTGCAATGTTGGGTTTGATTGCTCTGGCATTCACAGAATATGTTAAGGGTACATCCCTTGTGTAATAATGTTCTTTGGAAACACATTTAAGGTCTATAGGACTTGTGGTTAGAAGCCAGTCTAGGAATTGTTTATGTATATTCTTATGTAGTTACTCCTTTGAAGTACTTCATATTCCCATGTTACAAGAGTGTAATTGAACTTTCTTTATACTTGAAATAGCTTCTCTAATTTCTGCATGTTATTAGAAAATTAAAATTATGATACGTTAAAAATTTTCATTACATGATATTATTTAAATTATGAGAAGAATAAATCTTATAGGATTTGATTAAAAATTCTTAGATTAATATTATATAGTACTATTTATATTTATTATGTGCAATCATGGTTATTGAATTGAATCATTGAAAATAAAATTGATTACAATCACTTGTGGAATCCTTTATTTAAAAAAAACTTTTGAATGGCGGAGAAGTTTTCGCATGGGGTCCTTTATTTTCGCAGATTTCATGTTGACGATGTTGGTGAAGTCATTGGATGGAGGTGCATCTAAATTTTTAGACCGAAATATTTCACTGAAGGTTAATGAGTCATACTATGAAGGGATGAGTGCATCAATTGTTGTCAAAGCTCACAATGGACGAGAAGTTTCTTTAGAAACTATGCAATTATTGGAAAAAACTGTAAGTCATAAATCTCATTGGGATGGATGTGGGCAATCATTTGATGAAGGATAGTTTGAAGAAGATGTCGAAGCTTACCAAAAGTTTTGAGACCATGGACGTTGACAATAATTGCTTTCTGGTCAAGTGAAAACTGCTCGCACATAGGGAAAAAATTGTGTTAGAAGGCCTGTGGATGTTGTTTGACCATTATTTGACAGTACCTAAATGAACTCCAGACTTTGCATCTCATATCGCAAAGGTTGATAAAACTTTGGTTTGGATTCGATTTTCAGGGTTTAACTTATTCTATTATGATGAAAGTGTCCTTCTTGGTTTGACATTTGTTATGGGTACTTATGTTAAGGTAGATACTAACATCCTGAATGTAGAAAGGGGAGGATTTGCGAGAATTTGCGTGGAGATTTATTTGACCTTGTCGTTTGTCGGAAAGATTAATGTTATGGCAACTAGTACAATGTACAATATGAATGTCTTCACATTATTTGCTCCAATTATGTTGTTATAGACATCACACCCGTGATTGTGAGAATACACCACTTAACCTGACGCAGCCGGTCGTTCTATGGTGGCGCAACCAAGATGTTCGCCAGAAAACGATGTTGTCCATGAGAAAAGACTAAAGGAACTACATCAGAAAATGGGTGATGATAACGCTGAAATCGTAGCAAAAAAATCTAGAAAAACAAATGCAGTTCATGGTGGTTGGCCGGTGGTGCATAGGAAAAAAATAACAAAATAATCATTTATTGTCAAGGGAAATATTTATCCAATAATGCACTTAGAAATCCGGGGAGTTCTAAATTCAAGAGAATTGATGTTTCGTTAAAAGGAATAAGCCTTGGTAGTAAAACTGCTGGATCCAATCAACTTGACGCAGTTTCTAAGAAACAAAGATTTGATAAGAGTAGACCCACCCCAGACGTGCGTCAGATGACACAGAGAGGGGACCCACACTCCAAGGCTAAGTTTTCCATTTTGGAACCACATCTTGCTATTAGTGGACATTCGCACTGTAACACGGTGGGAGAACTGACTTTAAACAATGTTGCAGATAGCAAGAGTCGCCACCGACTTTTATTTTATCCATAAGGAAAGGTTATAAAAGAACAGGAAAGACCTTAGAGAATATTTTGGGTCCGGGGGGTAGGTTATGAAAAGGGAAGGTGTTAGCACCCTTTTCATCCATGGTTATCCATGGGCTCTTAGGTACTTAAGCTCACTTTTGAATTGTTTTGAAAGTGTAGTGTGTGAATAGAAAATTTTCAGAATAGTTAATAAATAATCCATGTAAGGATGTGTTAAGAACTTGTTTGAAAACTTGTTGAAAATTTGTTTAAGTGCGAAACAGTTTTGAAGTGAGCAAGCACCTAGGAGTAACCTACCCTAATGTTTAAAGGTCTTTCTTATTCTTTATCCTTTCCTTAGTAAGACTATCCCTACTATAATGGAGTAGGTAGTCCTTACTTTGGATGTTAAGGGACATGTGAGGGACAATTGGATTTTTGAAGGTCATTGTGGGGTGTAATAAGCAAACTGGAGGGACTATCATCATTTTTCGAAAGGGACTCGATTCGTAAAGGCAACCATAAGGGACTTTGATGATTTTCTTTTTGAGGGACTTGCTTTATACACCCCACTTAACCAATATTCATAGGCAACTTGAGGGATATCCTTAGGAAGTGAGACGGCGATTAAAATCGACTTACGTGTGTGAAATGTTTAATTTAATTATCTTATACTAAAATGATCTAATTTTATTTTAATATTACATACATGTTGTTACACTCCCTAATTACTAACCATAATAATAATTAAATAATTAAACAACTTTACATCCAAGAAACAATTACAAAATAATAAGCAAAATAATTAAATAGCAAAGATAAATAAAATATAAATAAGCAATAATAAATAATAAAGGGGGTTAATTCTAAGTTTACTCGGCAAGACATCGCATCTTGTGCCTACGTATCCTTACGGGAGCGGAATCAGAGTAATCGTAGTTCCCCTCAAAAGGGAGGTTAGAGATCTCTTGACAGTGGTCAAGGTCTCAAGGGGAATAAACGCGCCTTAAGGACACGCTTACGCGGAGTGTAGGAACTCCAAATTTCTACGTTGAAATGTTAAGTTGTAATTGGGGTTAAATTAGGGATTCCACGGCGGGAAACCCTAAAATGAGCGCGGCGGCTCTTTGACCTAATGCTAAGGGTAAAATTGTAATTTTGCCTGCGGCGAGGCATTTGTGAAAATTGGGGTTTGTAAAGGTGTAAGGGTTGAAAGTGAGGACTATTGACACGGCGGTCAAGCG